AAAAAAAAAAAATGTAAAAACTCTCCTTAGCTCTTAAGCCATACAAGAACATGTGGCCAACCGAGATTGACCTCCAGCTGTAGTTTGCTGGCCTGCATCCTGCAGCTCTGACCCCCAGACATCACTGGCGTTGGGGTGCCCTCCTCTGTCACTTGCCAGTGTCTCTGTTTAACTTTCCTGAAGCTACACGTGTGCCTTTTACACATTCTGCCTGACTTCAGTCAAGTAAGCAGTTGGGTTACTGAACAGATGAAGTATACTTTCTTGCAAATGAGATCTTGTAAGGGTTTTTGTGTTTTTTGAGCATGCATGAGTGCACGCATGAGTGGGTTGGGGGCAGAAGGAGAGGGAGAAAGAATCAGAAGCAGGCTCCACACCCAGCATGGAGTCCAACGCAGGGCTCGATCTCATGACCCTGAGATCATGACCTGAGCCAAAATCAAGTCAGATTCTCAGCTGACTGAGCCACCCAGGTGCCCTGAGATCTTGTAAGGATTTTTAATGCTTCCATGATTCTGTCTCATTCCCCTTAACAGTGGAACTTTCTTTAGCCACATGGTAAACTCTATGACCCACCTTATAGGCCATGGTGGAAACACTAAGTATTAGTTCAGCAGATACTTACTGAGCACCTACTACATGTTACACAGTGTGCATAGTGCCTGCTCTCGAAAATCCGAGCAAACCATTAATTGGCAAGCTTTTCTCATAGATTTGCTAGGTGCCGAGTCTTGTGGTTGGCACTGGAAGGAAATAGAAAACATGGCCCCTGCCGGCCGTTCATTTACGTTTCTGTCCGGCAAGCACTGGCTCTGTGCACTAGGACTTGGAGAAACCACACAGAAGCCCTGCTGCTTTCAGGAAGCTTATGGTCTGCCAAGTGGTTCCCAGACTCTCCTGGCGGCCTCGCAAGGACACAGGCTGCACCCTGGAGCTTCTGACTCCGTGGGTCCAAGGTGGGGGTCCCTGAGAATTTGCGTGTTTACTGGATTCCCAGAGGATGCTCTTGCTGTCAGTGTGTGTCCAGGCATCACACGCTGAGGAGCCGGATTCCATTTATCCGGTGGAATAAGTGAGAATGGTCCAGAAAGCAGGGGTGCCTGCAAATTGGAAGACTTTCCTTCTCAACCCTTTCCGACTGTGTACCTACCGCAGTGAGTTTCCTTTCCTTTTGTAGATTTCGGGGGGTGACTCCTGTTCAAGGGGCAGGGCTGCTCCCCCCTCAGTTCAGACCTGTCCCTGGTAGTCCCTGTTCCTCATGCTCCATATCATCACCTGTCCCTTTTCAGCCTAAACAACCCCAAAATTATCTTACTGCAAAGTCCGTGTTGGAAGCCGATGTTTGGACCTGGAGAGCCACCCTCAACCTCTCTGCCTGCCTAGGGTGCACACCCCCTGCCCAACCCGTGCACCTGACCTCTCCCACCCTGCCCCGACCAGTCCAGAGAAGTCACAGTGTGCCCGTCCGTGCTTGCACCTCCCTGATGCCGGCAAGGGAGTGTCTCAAAATGGGCTCCCTGGGTGGCCAGAGAGGGTGGCCCCATGCAGGTGCGCACCGCAGGATTAACCATGTGTAGGCAGCAGCTGGGGTCAGCCAGCAGTAGGTGTTAATCCTGGTCTGTGCTCTCCCGGTGTGGGACCTGTTAGACCCCTGGGGCTTCAACTTCCTTCCCTACCCAAGATTGTTTTAATCCAGGCTTAAACAGCCTTGCAGCGTTGCTTCAAGAGTTTAGGGAGGTTTGGGTTTTCTTGGTGATTAACCTGTGGTTCCTAGCACAGTGTCTGGCACTCAGGAAGCACTCGATAAATGGTTCCTGTCCCTGCTAATGACTGAAGATCTTAGCGCGTGCTCAACCGAGATCTGTGGCTCCAAACTAGCATAAAACAGGTTTTGCCTCTGTCAAGTTGAGCATCCAGATGTTTCCGTGGGCCAGCAGTTTGTTGGCAGGTACAGATGGCTTCTGAGCTGCTGCCCTGTCCTGCAGACTGGCCCTCCCACCCCCCCCCCCACCCCCCCCGACAGCTCACAGCAGGCTAGGGTCGGACTGCCTCAGCCCTCAGTGCCTGACTCCCACCTGCCACGTGAATGCACTTCTTTGCCTGGTTTTGCAGTGTCCATCAGCCCGAGGAGGAACCTCCACTTGGCTCGTCCAGGCCATGAGGTGCTGACAGGAGGCTGAAGTTACTGAGCGGCATCATAGACCTGGGCCTCTGGTGGCTCTGTTTGCCTACACAGTGGTGGCAAGAGGGCACCAGTTCCCTGGCCCGGGGAAGCCCAGCCAGGGAGCGGTGGCTTGAGCGGAGCAGTCTGGCGGGCTGGGTCGTCACATGTCCCCCGTTCCCGCCACCCTGTCCTACCAGGCAGCCTGCCGTTCTGGCTCCCACCCACCCCCGCTGTGCCTGCCTCTTATGTGGAGAGTGGTCTGAGTGGCAGTGAGGGTTGTGGCTTTGCAGGAGCTGGTCTTGTTCCCGTTCCTCTGCGGCTCCACACACAGAGCCCTTGCAATGTGTCTGAGCACAGTGGGCTGACCGGGAAAAGAAAAGTGCGGCCCTGCCGGTCAGCTTCCCTCTACCCTGCGCGGTAGGAAAGCGAGAACAGATTGGAACAGTTGCCTGTGGTCGGGCTTTCAGCCCTGACCTTTCCAGAGACTGGATGAGCTTTGCGGGAAGTCCTTCCCGTGTCTGGAGGTCCTTTCTTTTTGTGAAGTTAGGGGGCTGCCGGAGTGGCATCTGGGGTTCTCTCCCTGGTGTTCTGTGTATCGCCCCCTCCCCGTCTTGACTAGTGTGTGTGGGGCACAGGTGATGCTCTGCCTCAAAGAGGCCTAGCGGGGGCAGGAAGCCTCAGTCCTGGCCACCTGTGCTGCCCAGGGGATGTCCTGGGGTGGGGAGGGCCGTCGGAGCACCTGTTGGGGCCTTGGCCCACTTCTCACTCCTCCCCTCTTCCCCATAGGACACTCCCAGCTGCCCGGATGACCTGCTAAGCGACTTCTTCAGAAAGGCCAGCGGTCTCCCGGCCATTGGAAGCCAGCCGGGGCCACCTGCCAGGAGAGAAGGGGCCAAGATGCCCACCAGCTTCGTGGCCCCTACCATCAAGATGCCTGTCAACACCCCTGAAGGGAAGTTGCTGAAGCCTGGACAGTACGTGAAGCCAAACTCCAGACCTGCCGAGGCCGAGGCCCCGCCCAGTGCCCCCCCGAGGCAGGCCCAGCCCCCCCAGAGCCTGTCACTGGGCAGACCCAGGCAGGCCACAATGCCCCCGACGTCCCACACACCGGCCGGCCGGAGTGCATCCCTGAGCCGTGCCTTTAGCCTGGCCTCGGCCGACCTTCTCCGGGCCAGTGGGCCAGAGGCTTGCAAACAGGAGGCCCCTCAGAAGCTGGGGGGTCCTGACACCTCGGGCAGAGAAACAGGCAGTCACGTCCTGCAGAGCCCCACGCCCCCCACCTCCCACAGCCTGGCCCGGGAGCGGACCCCGCTTGCGGGAAAGACCTGCAGCAGCTCCGGTCAAGGCCCAGCCCCCCGCAGCCGGCCCCCGGACGTGAGGCGCTTCTCACTGGCTCCCCCAAAGGAGGAGAGGCTGGTCCCCCTGCAGCAGTCTGCCACGGCCCCGGCCATCGCCTCTGGAGGTGGCGGTGCCTGTGGCAGCAGCTCCCAGCCCCAGCACTTTCCATCGGCTGCGGCCCCGGCTACCAGGACCAAACCCCAGACGCCCCCCCACTCGGGGGAGGCGGCCACCATCGCCCCTGTCCGGGGGGCGCTCGGCCTCTCAGAGGGAGACGGGGTCCCGAGGCAAGGCCACGGCGAGGGCCTCCCTGCCAAGAGTCCGGGTAGGTCTCCCGACTTGGCTCTGCACGCCAGCCGGGCCCCTGAGGACTTCAGCCGCGGAAGCAGCTTGAAGAGCACGCCGGCGTCCCCCGAGCCTGGCGGGGACCAGCAGACGGTGTGGTACGAGTACGGCTGCGTGTGACTCGGCCGGACCGGCGGCCCCTGAACCCTGAAACTACTGACTCCCCTTCTGGCGGTGACGGCCTTTGCTTCTGCCCCTGTGGTGCCAGGAAAGGGCTTTAGAACGAGGATGGGGGTTCCTGTGCGTCTCTCCTGTTAATGAAAACACTGTGCCAAGCCCTGCGAGGGTTACACTCCCAGGTGTGTGTCTTCTGTAGCTTCCAGCACCTGAGCGCTTTCGAACAGATCCACACTTGACGGGGACACTCAGAATGCAGTGACAGAACCATTGAAGCAGACACTATTTGAGCACGTCCCGGTAGAACACTCATTTGCAACTTGTCGACCTCTCTTAAGGCACGGGTGTGTGTATGTGCGTGTGTGCAGATACACTTTCACGTGGCCAGGCCCCCGCCCCGTGGCTCTGGAAACTCCATTCCCTCTCCCCAAAGCCGTTTGATCCTAGGAGAAGTCCAGACTGGCCAAACTACAAAGATCTTGAGGACCTTGGTGTGGGTACCCAGAATTAGGCTTGCTGCTGAAAATCAGGGGTGTCGCCATGCCATTCCTGGGGTCCCAAGCAATCCCCTTCTGCCCCAGGGCTAAGGTGGCCTTCTAGGCAGGTGGCAAGTGGCCTCGGGCTTTGGCCACCCCCCCCCCCCCCCCCCCCCCCCCCCCGGTCCCCCTGCAGCCGGCTCCTGGGCTCTGCATGGTGGGCTCGGGGGCCACGGGGAGGCCTGCCTTCCCTGACTCACTTCTCTACAAACACTGGATCTGCTGGGGCTGGGGGGCTGGGGGCAGAGAGAGGGCCCTGCCCCACCCCCGACCAGCAAGTGCACATAGTGTACAGAGGGGAGGTGTATGCAAGAGTGGGGTACAGCCTCTCCACTTCCCCAGTCTCAGATGAGATATTGATTTATTATTTCTGAATAACTTCTTGTGGTAGAAACCAAATTTCTTTTAATATATTACATATGTATGTACACTCCCCTGTGAGATATATGTCCTTTGAGGGGGAATCTATTTATGTTCCACTGGGAGTCCTTTTCGATCAGGAATCTTAACCTGCTGCTTTTATGTATTTGGTCAGATTCCTGACACGTTTTGTTTTCTGTTTAGTAAAGGTGCTCTTTCTGGGATATACTAAACTTGGTGATTTTTTTTTTTTAAGATTTATTTTTTTTTCTTTTGATTTAATCCGAGGAAAAAATGGGATTGTTAAGGTCAGTTTTAGGAGCGCTTTCGGTTGTGTATTGAATAGCCATTCATTCTGGAACACACGGACAGGATCATAATAAAATGAGATGGCAGAGAACGGAGTCCTGGTTTTCTCACTGGACAGCCTTGGCATTATGGGACAGGCTGTCGGGGGCTCCCGGGGCTCCCTGCTTCACCTCCAAGAGCCTTCTCGGCCTCTGGAATCTACTCTTTGCCAACAGGTCAGAGAACAAGTTTTTTGTGCTTACTATACAGCTTTTTCCCAGACTTGTATTTTTTTTTCCTAGAGTTTATTTTGAGAGAGAGGGCGAGTGAGCAGGGGAGGGGCAGAGAGAGAGAGAGAGGAGACAGAATCCCAAGCAGGCTCCTCACTGTCAGCACAGAGCCAGATGCAAGGCTGGAACTCACGAACCGTGAGATCGTGACCTCAGCCGAAATCGAGAGTTGGATGCTTAACCGGCTGAGCCACCCAGACACCCCATTTTGATGTGGGATTCAGCTCCAACTGGTCCTTTGGATTTTCCCAAGAGTACTCAACTAGGATCTGGAATTTAGATCTCTGGGGCCTCAGATCAGATACTTAAATAGGAGGGAGGGAGGATGGGAGGCATATACATATCCACACATGGTGAAGTCTTTCTTCAAATGGCTTTCTGTCTTGCTGCCTCGGTGTCTCTCTCTTTCTTCACCAAGCTTTTTTTAACGTTTATTTTTGAGAGAGCACAAGCAGGGGAGGGACAGAGTGAGAGGGGGACAGAAGATCCGAAGCAGACTCTGCACCGACAGCAGAGAGCCTCATGAATGGCTTCAACCCACGAACTGCGCAATCACGACCTGAGCTCAAGTGATTGAGCCACCCGTGTGCCCCCAGATTAAGAGTCTCCTGCCTCCTCGCCTGTCCTTTCGGAAGCTTACAGCCTGTCCCGTGTGACCGCTCAGCGGGGGGCTGCCATCCACAAGGCTCGGGCCAAACAGCAGCAGCCACCTCTCTGCTTCCTCCTGTGCAGACTTTGCCACCTGGCCACTTAGCACGTGAACCTCGCTTGGGATTCTCTGCTGTCTGGAACGGGTCTCCAGGGCTCACACTTGCCAGCCCCTCATTCATTCATAGTTAAAGGTGCCTTCACAGTTAAGGTGCTAGGTCCCAGAGGCTGCCCCTTGCGGGCAGCCCCCCAGGGCTAGCCAAGGGCTGACTGCTGAGCTGTAGGCCTGAAGCCCCCCACCTGCTGTCAGATCCTCCTGCCTGGACCTGCAGGCCTGGCTCGACTCTTCCACCTGACCACCCCGCCCCCACCCCCCACCCCTCTGGCTCCCTCGCTCATTCAAGGACCAGCTGTCCTGTTATCACAAAAACCAGAAGCCCGAGATGCAGGCTTGGCCCTTCCTCTCTCCACACCCCACACCTAGGTCACGTTCTGGACTGTGTCTGAAATCTGCACCCCCACCCTTGTCTCAGTTTTTCTCATCTCAGGTCACACACGCACACACACACCCCTGGCCCTGGGTTTGGGCGGTAGCTTGCCCAATAGACTGCCTGTCTCAAACAACTTAGCCCTCGTGGCACCTCTCAGGGCATTCACCCCCGGTGACCTTTCCTTTTGACCCATTCCCCTCAGTCTCTGCCTCCGCACTAGTCACACCCATGCCTTTGTGGACTGGGCCGCTCTACATGGCTCACTGAGGTGCACCCAGCCCTCTTATGGCTCCCTCCCCTCGCCCCAGACAAGCTCACACACATCCATGATTTTAATTACAGTCTGTTCCCAGAAGGTCCAAACAGCTCCAGCCCCAGCCTCTCCTTGGAACCTCCGGACCTGTGTTTCCAGCCTGGGTGTCCCTCCAACTCAATGCTCAGCATATTGTTTACCGTCTGCCCCCCACCAAAGCCTCTTTGTGGTTCCCATCTCGTCTTCTCTGTCCCCTAACCTCCAGATGATATTTGACACCCCCCTCCCTCTTCCCTGTGTCCTATCCATTACTTTATCAGCTGGTTCCAGCTCTGACACCTCGCTCACATCCGCAGCCAATCCCAGGCAATGGTCCCCACCCCCGGGCAGTACCACAGGGTCCTGTTGCTAAGCCAGGCATCCCAGATCATGCCCTTCCTGAGCTCCAGGCACCTCCCTCTGCACAGGCCTGGGAGATATGGGACCTGGCTTCTTGGGAGCCGACTAGCAGTTGGCATTCGTGCGCACAGCTCCAGGGTGAGGTCTATACCTGGAAAGAGATTTGGAATCATCTCTGGAACAAGAGAGGCTCACCCTGGGTAGAACACTAAAGTGAGAAAGCACAGGACAAACCCTGGGAAGGATCTAGCCAGCGTAAAACATCCAGCCCAATGTTCATCAACTGAAGGAGAAGGAACATGTATACATACATAAAATTTTATAAAGATGTGTAATAAAATTTACAAATAGTAAAATATCTAATACTTTCTGCCTCAGAACCCGTACAGCCAATTGATTCTCCTAGAAAACTCTCATCGATTTCTGCCACACTTGTGTATTTGTAGCCAGCCTGTGCTTGCAACTGACATCTGTCAGTATCATTCCAACAGGGATGTTGGTTGAAATTTCCCTTTATGTTAACCAGTACCATGAAAGCAAAACGAACCAGAAACGCATGTCAGAACTTCACTCCTTTGTGGATGACACGGGGACTACCTGGTCACGGAGGAGATCTGAATGCAGGATGAGCAAGTTTCCTCCATTTTGTGCTGTCACATGGCTACAGACCGAGCACACTTCTTAAAAAAATAGATGTACCGCCTTACATGCCATAAATATTCTCCCAAGACATACTTTTAAGTTTACTCTGCACTATGAACAGTTTCTCTGCCATTTTCTTAAGTCTAGACACTGAGAAAAACATAAATCAAGCCCTGGTTGGTAATATCTGCCAATTTCTGTGGTGTAAATATTCTCACCATGGCCGATTCCAAGCTGCCAACATGGCGTCATTGACCATGGAGGTGGGAAGAGACGTGTGGCACCTGTTACAGAGCATCACCTCCACACCGATAAAGTGGGTGTAAATAACCTCAAGAGTGTGGGTACTGGTAAAATAATTAGGAAGAAACAAGTTTTATGTATTTATTACCTTTGCTTTTAATATGCAGTATTTAGGGGTTGCCTGGGTGGTTTGGTCGGTTGAGCATCCAACTTTGGCTCAGGTCACGATCTCATGGTTGACAAGTTCGAGCCCCACGACGGACTCTCTGCTGACAGCCTGGAGCCTGCTTCCGATTCTGTATCTCCCTCTCCCTCTCTCCCTCCCCCACTCATGCTCTGTCTCTCTCTGTCTCAAAAATAAACATTTTTAAAAATACAGTATTTAATCAAAGGTTTACAGAAGTTAATTTTTTTTAATATTATTTATTTTTGAGAGAGAGAGACAGATTATGAGTGGGGGAGGAGCAGAGAGAGATGGAGACACAGAATCCAAA